ACACACCCCGAGGGTCTGGCTGCGGCTCTACCATTGAGTGGTCCCCACATGTGCCCAGGGCAGGTGGGAGACTCACTTGCCCTCCTCACACTCAGGGCCAAGATCTCCATCCAGGGGGCTGACTCGGGGGCACTCCCAGGAGTGCTCTGCAGCAGGGGACACTCTGCTCCTGTGCCCCCAAAGGTCAGTGAAAACCATTTGGCTCCCTCCCCAACCGTGAGGGACCAGGAGCTGGAAGATGGGAGAGGGTTACTCTCCCCCGACTTCTGTCCTTTCCAGCACCCACCACCCTCCCAACATGTGTGGCTACTGGGCTTTGACCAGGGGACAGAGGGACACCTGGGACTAGACCCCACCCTGTCTGCTCCTGCTAACCAGGGCATGCCCCACCAGCCCCTTGCCCCACATCTTCAAGCCCCCACCCTCAGCGACCAAGCCCCAGGACAGGCCCCTTCAGCCCCAGCTGACTTGGAGGAGACCCAGTCTCAGAGGGCAGCCGGCAGATCCCTGTCATCAGACTGAGGGGGGGTCCTGGGCAAGAGCTGGGCACCTCTGCTCTGGCCTCCCTTGCCCAGTGAAGACGGGGCCCCTGGTACTCTCTGTCTCTGTGCCTTCCGGCTCAGTACCCTCCCCAGGCCCAGCCGGCTTCCTAGCCCCACTCTGTGGGAGGGCCCCCCTCTCCTGGCTGTGGGCTGGGAGCCCAGCCTGAGCTGGTCCCTGTCTCCTGCAGCCCCCACCATCACTGCTCCAGCCACCTCCCCCACAGTCACCCTAGAACAGTGGTTCTCTACCTGCAGGTCTCGACCCCTCTAGGGGTCAAATGACCCTTTCACAGGGGCCGCCTGATTCATAACAGTAGCAAAATTACAGTTATGAAGTAGCAATGAAAATAATTGTATGATTGGGGGCTCACCACCACATGAAGAACTGTATTAAAGGGTTTGAGGCATTAGGAAGGTTGAGAACCACTGCCCTAGAAGGACATCGGGAACCACGAAGGGTGTCCCTGCCTGCCCACCCTGCCCACCTCCCACAAGACCATCCACCAAGGCTCCTCACCCTCTAGCTCCACCTGCTGGGGGTTAGGGCAGCCCCTCCCACCGGCTCCCAGAACCAAGGGGCTTCATCCACCAACACATTCAGAGACACTAAGTCCAGCCCGCAGCGACTGCATACACACATAGACACACACACATGCACATAGGTGCTCACACGTGAGGTCGCATGTACATATCTGCACACGGTGCACACATGTTTGCACGTGCATACCCAGCGTGTGTGCGCACCTGTGCACATGTGCGTACCACGTGCACATGTAGATGTGTGTGCACATACTGCATCCATACCCACACGAGCACATGTCTAAGCGTATATTCACACACATGCATGTATACATGTATGCTCACACGTGTGCACAGGGGCACACACACAATCCTGTGGTTCCCCAGTCTCATTCTGAGGCATGCCCAGGAGCTGAGGTGCCCATACTTGCCCACAAGAACAGTTGTCTGAAAGGCCACAGCTGGGGGAAGTCCCCAGGCCACATCCCTGGGGCCTGTCTGTGCTGCTGCCGCACAGAGCCACTGTGAGAGCCAGGACCAGGACTGTCACTGCTGTGACACCAGCCCTCCCAGGAAGACAGTCGGGGATCCAGGCCAGGGCCTCAGAGACCTTAGGCGGCACCCAGTGCTGACCGTGACCACAGTTCCACCTGGTGGCCACTGCTGGGACTGCTCCCCATCCCAGCTGCGAAGGCAGCTGCCAGGCCAGGGCTCAGCACGCAGGGAGCAGCCTCAGGTTGGCCAGCAGTTCCTCCCTCGGCTTTGGTGTCCTCAACAGCCTGGGGCTGGGGGAGGTAGCAGGTAGCAAAAATCAGTCCATGTCCCCAATTTGCACTGTGGTCCTGAGGCTGCACACCCCCCTCCTGACTACGGGGGTCAGGGCTTGGCCCAAGGTCATGGCACTCCTCTCTGCCACCCTGGCCCTATTCAAGCTGACACCATCACCAGGCTAGCTGGTTCTCCAGACCTGCTGGGCCCCCACTACCAGGTCCCAACTCACCATCCATGGGAAAGACCACCCACCGTGATGACCACTTGCTTTGGCCCCCAGGTTTCTGCATATTCATGCCACCGCAGCAGCGATGTGGCGTGCCCTAACACTCAGCCAGGCTTCCTTCGCAGGCCAGCGTGGTGGCTTTGAGGGGGTCAGGAAGACCCTGTGCTGCCGAGGGAGAAGCAGCAACCTCATGCAACCCCCAGGGTGTCCACAACCCAGCCTGTGCTGCAAGGGCCCAAGGTGGGTCCAGGGAGTAGGTCAGGGGCCCGGGCCGATGGCCTCCAGAGTGTCTCGAGGTAACACTTTGGGACCCGGAGTGATGTCCTGACTACTGCTTTCAACATCTAAGTTCTAGCTTCCAGCACGCTGAATAGCAACACAAGAGCTTCAGCAACGGCCAGCGCTGTCCCTGTCCCTGTCCCTGTCCTGGGACCACAGAACCAGGCTGGAAGCACAAGCCTAACTGTGGCAGCAAAGGTACCCTGGAGCCCTGAGCTGTGTCTGAGTGTGCTGCCCTCTGGTGGGCAGGTGGGGCACTACTGAGTCGTGCCAGGCCTCAAAGGTGGAAACTTCTGTAGCCCTGAACTGGGCAGTGGGTGGCTGGGAGGAGCCCAGACCCAAGTAGCCCTCACTCAGATCAGGAGCTTACATCTTCCTGGACCTGTCCTGTCACCAACCCCCAAAGTGGGCCTTAATATCGCCTGTCTCCAGAGACAGGGTGGCTCACCCACCAGTCCTCATGTCCTCTTGAGGGTGGGGGTTGGAGAGTGGGGACTGTGCTCCTATCCCAGAGACATGTCCACCTGGAGGGCAGGCAGCACGGTCAAGCCACCCACTGGCCCAGACTGGGCTGATCTAGTGCCCTGGTTAGCATATGGACAGCCAGGGTCCTCCAAGGGCCTCCAAGTGGCCTCCGTGGGGCCGCTTCCTGAGCTGCCCAGCAGGACTGCCTGCCAGCTCCAGGCTATTTTTCTCTCTGCCCATGTCTGGCTGACAAATATCTTTGTTGTAACACTGATTCTACTGGGCCAAGCACAAAAGGACAATTCCCGGGGCCAACAGGCTCCCAAGTGTCTCCCACGAGATCCCTCCTGGGCCTGCCAGTCTTCTGTCCAGCCCTGGGTGAGGAGAGCAGGCACAGACGGAGCTCCAGCTCCTCCCTAGCTCTCTCAGGTCCTGAGGGTGCTGAGGACCCGCCAGGTGCCCTGTGAGACATGAGAGGCCCAGGACAAGCAGGCTTGGTCAGAGGGCTGGGCTGGCTGGAGAGGCCTGGGTAGATGTGAACTTCAGAAAGAGCACACCACTTCGGTAGTATGAAGACGTCCCAGATACCAGCGGGAGGCACAGCCACTCACCACGACTCATTGCACGGGACGCGGGCCCTGAGAAGCTGAGCTTATCCGCAGTAGCCGAGCTGTGTTGGCCAGCCCTGCCCACTCTGCAGGCAAGGCATCAGTGCTCCACTCCTCAGGGAAGGGGTTACCACCCCCGGTGCTGCCTGGCTCCTCATGCCACACACATCCCCAACAGGTCTCAGGGCCCACCCACACTCAGGAGCAGGAGGTGCGGGCGGCCACTGTGGCTGCAGCTGGCAGCACTGCCCACTCCTGTGTGCTTTCCGAGGGTGCAGAAGGTGGACTCTCAGCCACCACACCTGAGCCTGAGCCTTGGTCGGCAGGAGGGCTCTGCTCCCTGAGGTAGGAGTTTGTCCTGGGTTATGGGGGGACTTGGAATACCATCACAGTGTCAGGATGAGAGACGGCAGATGGGGCGATGTGCTGGCAAATGTGACACAGCAGTCACTAGAAGCTGGGGGACACAGGCAAGCCTCTCCCCTGGAGCCTTGGGGTGGTGGGGAGGTCCTGCCACATCCTGATCTCTGTGCCGTGCACCAAGGACTTGGGGCTCCATTCCCCAGGGCTGTGAGTGAACGAAAGCTGGTCATGGTAGTGGTTTGTTCTGGAGGCACAGGACAGCGGTACACAGGTGACAACAGGAGACATGGGCTCCATGGCTGGCCCCCCAGGAGGGCAGGGACCAGATCTGGGTCCCTGCAGGCGTGGGCCCCAGGGTAGCAGGACCTCTGCTGAGAGCTTCTCCCCCACAGGCGCCATGCTGCATTCTGGGAACAGGGCTGATGGACCGGCTGGGGTCCCCAGTGATGCCCTGAGGTCCCCAGCCCCTCTGATGGGGGTTGCTGGCTGGAGTTTCGGGATGCACCTGTCAGGTTCTCCGAGTCACTGGGGCCCTGGCTTTGTCTCTGGTCACACCTACATGTGCTTGGGGTGGGGGCAAGACTGGACTTGGGGGTGGATAGCCTCAAACCTGGGAAAGGTGTGTGTGTACAGACCTCCCCTCGTGAGAGAAGGGAGCTGGGACCTCAACCCCCTCATCACTGTCGTCGGAAGAGCGGATTTAGATCAGTGCAGCACCCATCTCTGGCTGGAGTTCTCTTGGGGCCTGGGGCGCCCGCCCTCTTGGGGACCATGGGAGAACACCTGCCCGGCCCACCTGGGAGAGGTCAAGGAATATGGCGGAATTCCGGGACTAGAGGGCGACGCAGGGCAGGAAAAGCACCCCCACCCCGACACGCAGGCACATGTGGCTCTGGGGTCGCTCAGTTTATTGGTAAAACGGACACTGAGCGCGGCGGGCGCTGGACGCGGAAGCCTCGGGACGGCGGGGGGGGCGCTTTTCCTCTTGAAGAACTTCCACTGGACCTTGATGGCGAGCATCCAGTCGCTGACGTAGAGCCTCTTACAAGCGGAGGTGCAGACATGCGCCTGGCGGGGGGGCG